AGGTACAATATTTCCCTTTTCCCAGTCATCTGAGATTTCCCTTGACTGTCATGATATCTTTTCTAATATCAAAGAGAATGTCTTGGCAACTATATCAGCCAATTCTTTCAGGACTTTGGGATGCATCCCATCAGGTCCCACAGTGCTTTAAGGTTCCCCAGGTACCCATGTACCTGCTCTTTACAGTCAGAGGAACTTTGCTCCCCTAGTCCTCATCCTGCTATCCATCCACTTGAGAGATTTGGGAAGAGAGGTTACCAGTGAAGTCTGAGGCAAAAAAACCTTTTGAGTACCTCAGCCTGCTCCTCATCTGTTGTTGTTGCAGAATGAAAGCTTGAGAGTGCAATGATTCCTGTAGCTTGAGCAAGAAAACTTCATCAATAACCTCCCCTTGGCTTACACAGAACATTGGTTTCATCAGCTTTTGTGTGGTCTGCCAGCATGTTTCCTTCTTGCCACCAGTGAAACTATGAGGTTTCTCAATACAGTTCTTAACTCATTGTTTGAGGTATATACTGTGACAAGAAATTCTAATAATGTACTTTTCAGCCAGCATATCATGCATAACAGTATTCTGCTTATTTTTATCTGCCCATTTGGTCACCATGCTGAATATCAACTTCCTAAGATTTTACAACCAAGAAACTGCTAGTAAAATATGTACTGGTTTTATCCTGCAAACAGAGGATGCATTGCTATGATGTCATAGAACCGCTCTATTAAGCCACTTCTAAATGAACAGACATTTATTTATGTGCAAATAAGGTGCTCTGAGAAAGATGAAGATGAGTTAGCTGTTGAATTCAGAAGCATAATATCAGAAATACTGGAAAGTTGCAACTTAACTTACATGTAATTTTATTCTAGAGCTACAGTCTTCCTGTAGCATCATAAAGCTAGGGAAAGTTATTCTCATATGTATAGTGGAAATGACAGATAATTCAATGAATGTGAAAGCTATAACTTTTATTCAAAGTTTCATTTCTCATCTTAAGTAAAACTTCTATGAAGATCTATGTTCCTAAAAGTTTCCTATGTTCCTGTCTTAGCTTCAAAACTGTCCTGATGTAAACAGTTTTTGCATAAAAACACTGTTCAATTGAATTTTCATCCCACTTAATTGCTAAATTAACACTAATTCAGTTTAAGATTTGAATGTGACTTCATTAAGGAAAAAGTAAAATATACAGTATAAATATTTTTAAATATCTCTTTTACTTAAAGAATGGTAAATATTCTATACAGCAGAAATTAGTGAACCTTTTGGAACAACAATCCAAGGCTTATGTTTTTTGTGGCCCATTACACAGCAAATTATCAGGTTTGTGGCTAAGGATATTCTGAATATATGAGGTTGTTTCAGAGCATTTACTTCTTTGATGACTGGTCATACAAGGACCAGAGACTGTGAACAATCACCCTACATTATTTTATTTATATAAATGTACTTTCTGTTCAATGTAGATTAACTGCCTATATTCTTAAATTTAAAAGGAACATGCACCCATCTTTTAGGATCTGTGGGCTTCTGTGTGTGTGTTCAAACCTATCATGCTCTTTATGGTGTCAGCTGCAGTAATGGACTGAGTAATGGGAGAGCAAGCTGTTCTAAGATTTGTTATCACATATCTTTAAGGAGAAAAATAAATTAGGGTTTTAAGACCAGCAGACATAAATTTACAAAAGCAAATCCACCAGAAAATGGCTAAATACACAGAAAAACAGAATAAATCAATTTAGGAAGAAAGACACAAAGGAAACCAAGAAAGATTCTGCAGGCCTAGACATCACCTTTACCGATCAATGTTGTTCCTCAAGTGTTTTGGACAGAAAAAGCAAGATAATAACCCTAAAAGGATGGGTGATTTTATACTGAGTGTCTAAATTCTGCAAACTCAATCTTAAGGGAACTGCTTGTTTTGGAAAAACTCCTAAGAGAGTGCTTTCCTTTAGGGTCTGGTCAGATGAATGAAAAGCCTTAAGATCCTTTGAATGCCCAGCCTTGCAAATCCTCAAAGTCTGTTTCAGATGAGCTGTGGTGTATGAGGCATGTTGCAACTGCTTCCTGTCGTGCTGTTTCCCAGTCAGTTTTAGAAGTCAGCCAATATGGTGTGCTATCTGAAATGCTATAGTAATTATGTGTTATTTACAGTAACCAGAATTGGCACATTTATGTCTGAAAATGCTGGCTAATAACCAGGTTTCTTCAGTGTGCATAGTAGGTTGCTTCTAGACACTCGGGAGAATATAGATGGAGAAGGTTAACAAGGAAGTGAGAAGTAGTCTATTTTGCATTATTCTAGGTATGCCTTTCTGTAGATACATCTGGATATTATCCACAGACAAATGTGAAAGGCAGCAAGGTCACCTAGGATACTTCTGGAAGCCTAAAATCTGAACAGGACATGAAATTGCCACACATATATTGTCTGAAAAAGCATAGGTTGAGTATGACCACTGAGAGTCAGTTGATAAGCACCAATCGTGAGGCATTTGAACAGAAATTACATTTATATAAATAAACTCATGTAGGGTGATGGTTCACAGTCTGTGGCCCTTGTTTGACCAGTCATCAAATCATCTGAAACAACCTTATATTTTCAGAATATCCTTAGCCACAATAGTGGAATAGACCACTCAAGCATGGTTTTTGTTTAAGAACTGATCACAAAAGACTTGAAAGAATGAGAATAGGAGGAGTTTCTGGTGAAGTCATAACTGCAGGGAAGATCAGTTAATTTTAAAGCTAACTTGTTTAGTCAAAGGAATTTTATATAATTATAGGTAATAGTGCAAAAGAAGCTCAAGAGACACCAGTGGAAGCAGCATTTCCCAATGGCACTCAGCACTCCCGTATTGCTTACAGGCTGATGTACCAAAGAAAAAATGTTTTTATAAGAGGGATGTACAGTGCACTGACCAGCTACACAAAGCACACAGCAGTGGTAACAGCAGTTGTTGTCTGAAATCAGTCCCAGGTCAAACATTACCGCTTCCTATTATTTGCTTCCTTTTATTTTTGTGAGATCTATGTCACCATGAACTCTCCTGTGCTGAAAGTACTTAACACAAATACCATAACCAATAATAAATAAAGACAATTGTTGTTGTGTAGGTAGAATATCAGATGATATATCTTTCTTTGACAAAGAAGCTCCTCTTCTATTCTGATGCAATCTATGTTCTGGAACATATGTGTTGCTGTTCCAAGCATGACACCATGTTGGTTGTACTTCAGAGGTGTTCACTTTGCCAGCTCTAATGCAGTTTTTAACAGCTTGTCTTTTTGTGACATATTGCAATTATGCCAAACTATGTAATCACTTATTTCACATTGAAGTTTCAAGCTTTTTTTATGATATACAGCCTTGAAACTTAAAATTCCTCTAGTCAGTAAAGCAATTAACTGCCTTCTGGGGGTAAATTTCACCAAAAAAAAAAAAAAAGCTATGATTATTTTTTATTATTCTTTAAAAAAATAATTTAATGAACACGGATCCAGAGATGTTATCTCTATCTCACTGAAGTAGGTGGGAGTTTTCTTACTGACTTCAAATAAGTCAGGCTTTTGCCTTAGGACAAGATGCTTCTCTGGTGAATAATAATGAATTACTAGCAAAGACTAAGTGTGGACTGTCTTGCTAAAAAGTCCACTTAAGATTATTATATTATTACATCATACTGCTATATTCCTTTGCAGGCTCTCAAGCTTGCATATGCTTAAATTGTTCACATGTTTTTGAATGTGGTACCATGGACTGTTAAACAGAAAAAAATCCATCCTTTTGGTTGGTGAAAGTAGTGTGTGGGATTCATAGATATGATTCTTGTTTAGCCTGAGAAGCAAAAGTTTTACAAAATTAAAATTAAAAAATAATTACTACTTCAAACTCCTATTCAAAGATATCCAATTATGAAGTAGTTTTGCTGCATTTTCTCAGCACTGAAGTCAAATCCCTTAAGGATTTTTTTATAAATCAAAAATATTTATGAAACTTCTAATATTAACAAAATTTTTTTTTTTCTTTTTAGACGTGGAGGGAATTTAATAAATAAAAGTTTAAAAAACCTTAGGGAAGAACTTCTTAGTAGAATGGTCCAACACAAGTAGAATTTGTTAATTATCCATCATTCCTTAAGAATTTTTTTTTTTGAAAGCTATAAAAGATCATCTGAAATAGTATAAAATTGTGACCCATGTCCAACACAGAAGTAAGGTAAAAATAAACATTTTCATCATATCCAAAGAATTTTCTAGTGATCAGGTTTAGATGGGCTCTAGTTGCCTGATTGCAAAATTTGCTTTTTATTTTTATTTATTTGGGATTCCCAGAGACAAATAGCAGCTTGAAAATTGAAATTACATAGATTCTCTGTTTTGCACATGAGACTTGAAGCATTACTTTGTTTTAGCAACTTTTCATTTTATTAAAAGTGGTTATCCTGCCTGAATTCTACATTCAGTCCTAGGGTAGAATTCAGAGATAGCCTGCTATCTCCTGTTTCAAAGACCTGTTAGGATAAGTAAATTAAAACTGAGGAAAGTAATTATTTCTAACATGACATAAAATAAGTAATTAAAATGTTAAAAATATTGTTTGAGACAGACAAATTCTAAATTTTATTTTAAAAATATGCACATTGCAGCATTCAATTTATAATGTCTAATCTCTAAATTCCATTTTAACCAAAAAATAGGTCTTTCAGAAGAGTGAGCTTAAAGCCTGCACACTTCAGAGAGAATTACAAAAGGCTAACAAACACAAAACTTTCAACATGAGGTTGTCTTGAACTTCTAACCCTCTCCAAGGCTTAGATACCTAATTCAGTACATGACAGGGATGCTTTTCACTCATATGTGTATCATCCTGGCCATTCACGGGACTGGGATATGTGCAGTGCTTTGCCATTTCAAATAGGCCAGATCCCAGCCTGTGTTTGTGTGAATGCCTAATAACTAGAGCAGTACCACGTATAAACAGGAGACCTTGCTCAATTACCTTTCTTCTTCTGGTGCATGGCAATCTCTTGGTACCAGAGGTTCATCTACAGAAAAAGGAATGAGGTCATAAATAACACAGTTTTATGACTCAGTCAATAGGTATTTTCCTAGACAGGCAAATCTCACAGTCTGATAACTCTCACCTACCACCTGCATTTTAATTATATCATTCATAAAAAGATAAGAAACTCAGCTTCAGGAATTGAAACACAATTTGCCATTCAACCACAATCTTTCCTCCTTACATGTTTTTTCCAGCATTGTGATTTTTCCTTTTCCTTACAGTGGCACAATTTATCTCACTCCAGTGGCCTAGGCTCATAAATAAAGACATAAGGGGATCATTTTCCTAGCACCACTTTATACATGTCTGGAGGGTGGGACAGGTTGATTCTATCAGATCATTTCTGAGTAAGAGCTTTAACCATGAAACTACTGCAAAACACCCTTAGCAGTGCCAGTCACTGTGTTTTGGGAAAACTACGATGGCATTTCACTCGATGCCAAACCATTCCTTTAACATGAGGTGAGCTCAGAGCACGCCTGCTACGTGTGGCAGTTGTGCTCTAGTGTGTTGTATCCACCCTGAAAGGATCATGAGCATCACTCTGCTAAGGATAGCTGAGGGCAGGTAAAGGTGCTTCTGCTGATAATTAAGAAGCCCTACAGCTTTATTATATGCAGCAAAGAGGAGTGATGGCAACTGAACGAAGTAAATGATTCTTCGGCTGCTACAGAGGTCAATTAATTCCCATCAGAAGCTTCATGGTGCCATAAGAATGGATTATGTCCCTGACAAAGAGGTGTTACCAACCTAATAAAGAAGCTCATAATGACTGGACTATTATGTCCAATAATATATGTATATGCAACACATAACATGCCAGTCCCATAATTGGTGGAATGCAGGAGAAAAAAGATTATGTTTTTAATCTAAATTAGATCCTTTTGGGCATGGGAGTGCCATGTCATAAAGATTAGTTTTGGTGCTACAACAAATTCTAGAAGAGTTGGAAGTGTACTATATTGTTTTTAAATCTGTTGTATTGCTCCCCTGTAGACAGAAAGCCGCAAGGTAACAAGTATTTTAAATTAAAGAAAAAAAATATTTTCAGGGCTTCAAAAGCCCTAACTAAGTATTTTTCAGATTCACTGCTGAAGTTCAGCTTTAAATTCATGCAGTTCAGAGTCCCAGCTGGGCACAAAGGCCCTTGTCCTCAAGTCTCATCCGAGCCGCTGATTCCAAAGCAAGTCACAGACACATGCTACAAGCTGGAATACTTTTACTTTTATGAAATGTTGACTTTGTCTGTGTGAAAATTGTGCTTTTAATAATGGCTGAAGACAACAAAATTTTCCAGTCTAGTCTCCCTGTGTTAACAACCAGGCTGTTCCCTTTTCTCCCCATCACTGCTAATGCAGTTTTGAACCAGATAAAAGAGTGTTTGTCTCTGTTAGATTTTGTGTCTGCAGGCTGTAAGTCAGCAAAGAATTTGCTTTCTGATAATCCCTATTACTCTTTCAGACTCCTAAACTTACATTATCTCTTTATTTGCCCTTTCAGAGATACCAGGAACCTTTATTTGGAGCTTAAACATTATATTTGCTTACTTGATTATTTTTTTCAGTGTCACTAGTAACAATCTATTCTATGTTACTGTACTTGTAGTAAATGTTACAGCATTTCTGTTGCCTTATTCTTGGGGATGATTTTTCTTGTCAGTGTGAGACCTTTATGCTCTTGCTCAGCTGACTTCATTATCAGGTTCATTGCAGTAGAAAACACAATAACCCACAATAGAGAACCTGTTGTAAAGCTCCTTTCTATCTTTTGCTGATTTTTTTAGTTTCGAGGTCTATAATAAATATCATGAAAATTGCTTTATAATAGTCTCTCACCTGCCGCTGCACTATGTCTGGTACTTTATTCCTTCTCTGGATTCTTATACCAACTTAGGTGGCCTAGTCTGGCTTGCATTGTGACAGTTGAACACTATCTCTATTAGAGGTAATGTTGAGAACTTAGTTCTTTTTCCAAGGTTGACTTTTTAACTGCTCTAAAGTTCACATACTATAGTGGATTGCCTTTCAGGTTGGAATCCTCATGTGGTTTTCCATTCAAAATTTGAGAATGCATGAATAAAGCAGTCTCCTCCTACCTTGCTCTCCCTTACCACAACTCTTCACAAGATCAAAGGATTATATCCATCTTTTTCTCTACAAAATAAAGATCCAGCTATGGGTCTGATGGCATAAAAATCCTTTCGGCAGGCAGTTGCCATAAGACTGAATGTATCTTTCTTATTGTGCCTTTTTGGACGCAAAACAGAAAATGATAAAACAAAGCAGAAAACCCCAGGTATCAAGACAAACATGAACTTAACACATATAAAAAAGCAGTTGTACACCGCAGGATGAGTAGCTGAAAGGCTGTCTAGCTTATGAATGTTGTGCAAACTGAGCAGTTCTGAAGGACATGTTGTCCTTGATTCTGAACAGGACAGAAAGCATTAGATTAGCTTCTCTACACCCATAAGAAACCTAAGCTTGACTTTGACAGAAACAGAAACAACTGAAGTTCCTCAGCACCTTAAGTGAACTTAAAAACATTAGCATATATGTGATACATATTATATATTATACATAATAAATGTATACTTATTTATGAATATTATACACTATCATATATATAAGATATAAAGATATAATTTGCATGTCAGCGAAGTAAAGCCACCATCACTGCATGTTTCTGAGAATCAATTTCTGTTCATTATGGGAACAGCTGTCCAGAAGTTTTTATTACTCTAGGGATTCAGAGCAAATCTTCTTTCTTGTAAATCTGGATATGTTTCAGATGCAAAAACCTTGAGAAAAGTTATCAGACACAGGGGTACATGCAATCTGATAAGACTTTGTCAGCGGAATTGAATGGAAGTAGCGTGTAGGAGGGAAATACATGGGTGGTGGGGGAACAACTTGTTCCAGCAGCAGAATTAGGAAAGGATTCAGAAAATATTAACTATTTAGCTCAATTTATATAACTGATAGAATCTGTGACCATGAGACTTTATTAAGATGCTGACTGAGATGCATGGAAATGAGAACTTTTTAATCTGTTTATGGCTTTTACAATGTTATTGGCTTAATAAGATGGATAAGAGGATACTCCAGTTACTGTAACAACCATTCAATACAACTGAAAATTTTGGATTTATACATGTGGGTTTTTTCACTTACTCTACACATGGGGCTGTAATGCTACTGAGATAAGAATTCCTTAGTCACACAGGAGTCTTCATGTTGCCCTTCAATGGTAGCATTCCAACTGCAAGACAATTTATGATTATAGATATGTAAAATATCACTGACTATCTGGGAAAAAAAATTGAAATTTACCAGAAAAAGAAATCAGAACTAGTCTAATTGTCAGATAAACAACAAAAAGAATATTCCTAGTGATTTTTTTTTTTTTTTTTGCATTTTCATAGTGTCAGGTTCAGCAACTCAGACCTTTCATTTGCAGGAAGTGAAAGAAAGGCATTTGATAACTACAATTTTGAAAACCATTAATAAAATACACAGCCATGCATTCTTGAATTCTAAGAGTGATTTTCTTAACTGCCTGCAATATACATGATCTTCATTTCCCTCTTAACTATAGTGAAATTAAGACTCCTCTGCCTGGCAGTCAATCAGGAAGAGTTCTACTTGAAGCCAATTTCTCTTGTTGATGCCACCTAACACAGTAGTTCTATTTCCTCACCATTTTACCTTCAGATCACCCTTCTGCCTCTCATACGATGAGTCCCAGGCCAGGAAGACCCATATGATCTGCTGACACAAATGAAACGTTTCAGTGGAGAAATGTGATTTATGGAATCCTTTTCTTTTATTCAGTCCCTTTCATCATAAGGACATCTGAGATCATGACAGACTCTCAAAGGTGGCACTGTAAAGTTGTTTTACTGTTCAGTATAGATGCATCAGATACACAGTACAGTGAAATATCTGACAGCTTTCACTCTTACAAAAGTATCAGAATTGTGATTATTTATTTATTTATTTACAAGAATAAATATTCTCTATTTTACTGAAAATTAAATGTAATGTTAAAAAATACACTATGCAAATACTTATATCACCCTTACTCTCATGTAAATATGGATTATTTCATCATCTTATGCCAAAAATATTTTTATCTCCTCCACTTTTCAGTAACTTTTAAAATTATGCTGTAAGCCACAGGTCTGAAATTAAGCTACAAGAACTTATTAATAAATCATCTATAACATGTAAATGACATATCCTTTGGACAACAAAAAAGACACACTTATTTTAACTGGCCAGAATGAAAATAGCTGACCAAGGAGTGAAATAGTAAATAAGTACATTTAAAAGTAGCAAGCGAAAAAACAGGCATTGGAAGGGAGGGCAGGCGGGAGGGAGGAAGGAAAGGAAGGAAATTTTTGTATGTGAAGACCCAGACAAGCTGGTTTTTCCTGGCAAGTTCAGAAAAGCCTTGAAAAACTTCTTCTGTTTTGTGTCTTTATATCCCATAAAGTCACAGTCTCCTGCAAAGCAATCATAAGGTGGTCTATTGCTTCTAATAATGGCTGAGCCAACGAAAGAGTACAAGCTCTTTATTTTATTTATTAAGTTAGAGAAACTTCTAAACAGCCTCTGAGCTCTTTCTGCCTTACTACAAAAGGTAAGTGGTTCCTACTGCCTCAAATGTCTAGACTATACCAGCAGAGACTATACCAGAACTATATCACTGATGTTTTATTTAATCATGAATAAGACCCGTCTCAATCTTAATTTAGGTCAATGCATATATGAATGCATACATGTCAATGCATATATATAAATTAATAGAAGATAAAGGGGTTCACCATTTCACAGATGGTGCATAAATAACCAGCACTGAACTTTTGTCTTCTTCTCTGTCTTGTAAAAGAGATGATGACATTGACCTGTTTGGAGAATGCTCATACTCAATTCCTTAATACATGCAAAATGGTTTAAAAAAAAAAAAAAAAAAAAAAGTTTAAAAAAAAAAAAAAAAAGTTGATAAAAAGTATGACAGATGTGTAAAATTGTATAAAAGACAATTTGAGGAGATAAGTGAACCTGCCAGAATCTCACATATTTTATAATTTTAGAATGTGAAAGTACCTGCCAGTGATTCACTGGAAGTAAATCTTTTTGTTGCCAGGACCATTGCATTCTGAAAATAAAACATTTTGGGTGTAATGATTTATTTACAACTACCTTACTGTTTCATCTCAGTCTCCTAATACTAGCTATTGAGTCACAGCCTGAAAGTAGCAAATTGGGAATGATGGACTTATGAGTGTGGCAAGCAATGGTTTTGAACCTCTCACCAAGTTTCTTCTGACTTCAGGCCTTGTTATGATTAAAGGTTAATGGTCTTGATAGCTAGAGTACATAAAACCTATTCAAATCACTAGTGTATATATTCTGTATAACCTGTTCAGAATGCTTGACACCTAATTATGAGCTAAAATAAGAGTGATATGGAATTGCAGAAACTGTATTGAAGAAAATGATCCCATTGCTTCACAATAGGCCAAACTGAAGAAGTGAAAGTACTGCCTAAATCATGGCCAAACTCTCACTAAGCATTTTCTTCATAAACAGTTTTTTTTCCCAAGGCACAGTATGTCTCAGTTATTTATACTATTTCCATTAGGACACTTTTTCTTCTTTTTTCAAAAGATATAAAGGAAGTTTTAATCCAAACATTATGGCTGCTCTAAAAAAATCCCAATTTAGGAGTCTGAAGACTTTTGCAGTATACAGATATTTCAAGCTCCTTATGAGATTAAGCAAAAGAATCTCCAGTGGTTTTGATTGGAAAGATGGGAAACAGAATTGCTTTTGTCTCCAGTGTGATGTCTAGTTTCTGCCTCTAATTAGCATTATTTAATGAAGTAGTAGTTTCATCATCTTAAAACCAAAGACGTACTTTTCCTGCACTGTACTGCATATGGTAACTAAACACTGTCAATATGCACACTCTGGGAAAGCACAGTACTCAAAATATTTGTTCATATTACTTATTTCTTCAAATAAAACATAATCTGATTTCATGTTATTCACAAATGCTTTAGCATAATTTTTAAAGAACATTAAGAACAGTTGGTTCCTAAAGAACTTTTTTATGTTCATTGCTTAGCAATAGGACTGACACAAGTTTGTGTGCAGTGCACACACAGACACATAATTTCTAGAAGAATGACAAAGTGGAGAAATCAAGACTTTAATTTTTTACCTGGTTTACGGAGGGGTTTTTTGTCTCTGTGTTTTCTTACAAAAAATGATTTTAACATGCAGGGAAATTATGTGACACCATTTAAGGAAAACATAATAGAAATTGAAAAAAAAAATGAACATATTTTTCTCATTTTCTTAGTAATTAGTTATACTTTCACTTAAAGAAAAGAAAACTTTAAAGTGCAGCTTCTAAAAGTAGTATTTACAATACCTTTGGTTTTAATTTTCGCATGTATTTTTCCCCAGAAGCACATAATTTTAATTTTTTTCCAAAAACAAACAAATTACCTATTTTTTTGCAAAGCAAAACCATAGATCATTTTATTTAAATACTGCTTTCAGGAAAACTATAATGTTAGTCAACCTGTAATACAATGCAAACACAATTCTTTTCTTCAGTTTATTGAGTTATTGAATCAGTTGTATTTTCAACTCATCTCCGGTGGTTTCAAAGGTTGCATATAATATAGATTTTTTTTAAAATGGTTTTCCAAGGCTCAGTTTCAATTTATGGACTCCAGTCACGGCAGCTTTCAAAATAGCAGAAGGTTTTGTGTGTTACAGCCATAATCTCAAGTGACAAACATACCCCATGTACTGAAATTTCTCCTTAGGGCAGATACAATACAGATAAACACCTAACCTGCTCTCATAAATTGATATTTGTGATTCTTTTTGGCAACTTGTTTCTAAAAACACATGCATATGAAAATAGTTGTGACTCTTCCAAGTAGCTCCTAGAAGTGGGAGTCATCAGATCCTTTCAATCTGGCAATTTTATGGAGAAGTATTGTTTACCATCAAATTCTTGCCAGTCCACTGACTGTTTGCCAGTTTCTGATTAAATGTTTTTCTCACGTTTCCTTCTACAAACTGACCCTTCAAAACAAAGAGGTATTATGACAATCTTCTAAAGAACTGCAATCAGGATTTTCCATTAAAAACAAAATATTCCTATTATTAATAATTGTATTCTATTTTAATATACCCATAGAGATAACAATGTCTTCTGAAGGACAATAATAATTTTGATTGTGGGTTTATTCTTCTTATCAGTCATTGTGTTATAATGTTACCACAATTTTACAGTCAAAAAACCTGACAATTAATTCTAAAAAGAGATTTTCAAATACTTCAAAAACATAAACAATCTTCAGGATGCTTTTAAAGAGCTTATTACCAAGAAAAAAGAATCATTTTCAAGGGTTTTTTTCATGCATTTTACAGATATCAAGTTCAGAAAAAGAGTGAAAGCCATGTGGTGAATAACAAACTTTTCTGTTCCAAGTTTGAATTTTAAATATAAAGTTGTGGGACAAACAATAAATAAAATGGGTTTATATTGTAAAAAAGACTGTATACTTCTTAAAATAATATCATCTGTTCACAAGCAAGGATCAAGCATATTAAGACCCAGATTGTCAGATAAGCTGTTCTTATGAGCTATTCACCCTACTCACTTTCCTACAGTATAACAAAATGAGCAGCTTTTCTTAGGATGAAATCAGCATGAATTCTGCCACATAATCCAGTAGAAGTATTGTTTCAATCCTTCTTAATATAAATTCAGAAGGTATGTAAATATATTTTAGATTTTAATTCTTCAACAATGTGCATTCATTATCAGAATTTCACTCAAATCAATTTTTTTGTTACTGAATTTAAAGATATGACAAAACCTCCTGGGTGCCTTTCCCACTCCATTTCTGAGCATAGCTTCCATTAAGATTAATGGCTGTTTTGTATCTAATGGGAATATATATCTTAAGAAGCTGATGTAGAAGCAAAAATTTTAGTGGAAATGATGAACAATAGAGGTCATGATTACAATAATTGTAGAATGAGAGATTTAACAAGATTCTGTGAAGGAAATGTTCCTTCCTTTAAACAAAAAGGCCATATGTTGACACTAATTATATTGAGTAGACCTGCTGAAGTTGATATTCCAAAGATTTCATTGGGGACCCTTTTCTAGACTAAGATTTCACTTACTCAGTATAGGCTTAGGTGTGTTATTC